TTTCGGGGATAGTAAGCACTATACGAGTAAGTTAGCGAGGGAGTGGGAGCTCGCTAGAAAACCTCAGACCTTCCCTCCTAGGCCAAAGTCAGTTACGAGCGGAACGGAGTCACGCCTACATCGCAGGCCAATCCCTGTGCAATGCTACGCACATGCCCGTGTCCGGACCCACCCGCAGCAGCCGTGAGGACCCGATGAGATCATGTTCCAGCCCCGATTCAGCACTAGTGACTGCATCTGATTCGTCAAAGCTGGTGGATGGTGTTTCACCTTGCAGGCAACGGGCAATGTGGCTGGCTCTGCACCTCCACGCTAAGCCCGTTAGTTCTGGCCCTTTCTGGGTCATAGTGCAGCCCGTGGGTTTTACACAGATTATTATTGTTATTTACTGCTTTACGAGTGAGGAAGAAAAGGGAAAAAGCAAAAGCAGAGTCAGTGCCTACTCTGGCTGTGGTGTTCTGACCCTCTTAGGGGGTCTCCCCCCCCGTTCAATGACCCCATTAACCCATGGAATTATGTCACTATGCATGTATGCACTTCGTATGAATGTATTCTGCAAGACTCCAATACGGAAGCTTTACCATCCATACTTAAGTACTTCCCAGTATGCAAGTAGGAAGCAGTAGTGGACTAAAATCTCGCCATCCCGACCGGACTGTCTCTCATTATTGATGCCTACAGAGTAACAATAACCGACACACTTGCCTGTTCCAAACATACATACAAACATACACAAAAGAGAGCGCAGCCCCAATCGTATCGCGTTGGTTAGCCCGCAGTGTCCGGTGGGATGATATTACTAGTGAGTCGTTGTCGTGGAGCATGGGTCCATGGGCCGCAATCGTGTGCATCATCCGCGTACGTATTGATCCATAACGGCATAACCCCCCATACGCAGGCGCTGCACAAGCGATGCTCCAATGCATGTTTCATCTTGATATCTATCCATAGAAACAGCTGAATGCTAGCCATCAACCTGTCAATCCTCTGCTGGATTTCGTTGGTGGACGCCTCAATCGCCGCGTCATCCCCCAGAAGTGACGGCGGTTGGTGCACTCCAATCGGCTGGGTTCCTAGAGACGGCAAACGGCGAGCCGAGCGGTTAGGAAGGACAAGGATCTGATATGGATGGAAGACAGTCGAAGGGTAATTAGCAGGATCTCGATCAGGAGTTAGTTGAAATCTTCCGTACCGTAGTTTTTCTAGTGAGGAGACAAGAGAAATTGGAACTGGTCCACCATCCACGGAGTTCTCCAGCACTTTCGGAGCACCACCGGAGGGGGAGGAGGGGGAGAGGAAGAGAGATGGAACCAAGCAATGCAAAAGTCTGGTTCGGTCAAACTAGACTGTACAGACACAAAACACACGCTGTTTTTCCTCGTCTCCGCCATCGCAACAAAGGATGGCAACAAAGGGCCAACATACGATCGGTACGGGTTACACGGGAATACGCCGCAAGAAAAAAAAAGTCCCCCAGGTAAGGTAAGTATCCATTGTGTCTGTAATAAGCCAGTGAATACTCCGCGAGTCCCCACTTTTTCTCCCCTAGTGCTTGGGAGCTATAATTATAGTCCTGTATTAAGTATTTTTTAACCCCCATCCCATCCCATCCCTACACCGAGATCAGACGAACCGTCTGACTTGTCTGGAGTTAGACTAACCACCACCCGATTCTCTCGTTTCTTTTCCACCCCCTGCCGCTCTATCATCAGTCTTTTCTTCCTCAATTCGTCTTCGGCTTCCGCGGCATATCCTTGAATATACTTGCATTCCCACCCCAGCTACTACTGCTCCTCCTATATCCTCTTACCCCGGAGTATCTATTACTATCGTTTCCGCCTAGTCCTATCCCACCCTCAATCCGTTCCTGGTATACACCCACCACAATCAAAAGAATATGTTGACCTCCTCGTCAACCGACTCCTCTCGCTCCTCCTTCTCCGGCAGCCCCGTCTCGCAACACCCTCCTCACCATCAAGTATGGTTTCCTCCTGCTCCCCGCCGCCGTCCGCAACACTACAAGATCCCCCGCTACTACTCGACCCCCGTGAGGGAAGATGCCCCAGACTCGACCCCTCTACAAATGTACGGATTGGAGGAGCGCGCGCCATCTATTGCTGAGAAGCCAAAGCTTCTGCGCCGCTTTTCCCACGCCCTCGACGACATCAAGGAAGACTTGACCCTCCAACCCAGCAGCGAGAAGATCCGGAGCAAGCGTCGCCAGTCCATCTTCGGGATAGATGAAATTGCCGGATCAAGCGGATCGATCTCCTCGCCTTCTATGGATGTGCCTGTGGCGGCCGAACCGCAGCCCCCGAGGCCCCGTCCCCTCTCGATATTCGCCTCCGAGCCCTCCAGGAGGCTCAGTCGGCGGTTTTCCATCTTCGGATCGAGACGGTCGAAGAAGTTGACGCCCGGTCAGGCCGGGAGTATCTCGCAGCCCAATTTGATTGGGGCATCGACTCAAATATAATCTCATCATCGACTCTCGATATTGCATCATTGTCACCATCTCTATCGCCATTATCCTAATTGATCGACACGACGAGAGTTAATACACATAGACGCCGACAGCCGCCCCCGCACATACATCACCACAAGTACCAACATAACCGACCCATCCCAACCCAAGCATGCAACCCACGAACCCAAAACCGCATCTTTATAATCGGAGTTCAGCACGGCGCGGCGAGCATCATTCGATCCTTTGATCTATAATACCAGTCAAAAGTCTTTCCTTGATCATACATTCATCCATACCTTCCTTACCGGGCCCATTTCTTTTCAATATTGAATACATTTTTTTCAAATTCTCATTTTCAATTCCCATTTACAAGGTTGGGTGTCCGCATTAGCTCGGTGTTTGGTGTTAAGTTTATCTTGCTTTGAGTTTGATTTTACCTCGATATGCAGGTTTCCGTTTGCTTCGCATTCATTATTTGCTTCTACAAGCAGAAGAAGAATCGCAATTGCACATTCAACCAAAACATGTATTTATATACATACCCATGCTCACCTTCACACCTCTTGGTGATCGGGTATACATCTGTATATAGATCATGTATATACATATACTACATTGATGATCATATATTTTCATACTGCATGGGCGGGCGGCATTGTATAGCCTTATTGTTTATTTTCATCTCCACAAAAAACCATCATGTTTCATATACACACCTGCATCAATGAACAAAGAGTTCCAAAAGAAATACTATCCACTGCAGTAATAGTAGTCAAATCACCTGTTGTATACCATACTCTAAGAATAGTAACTGAATATAAGATGTACAGTTCATCATATCCACCCACACACCACGCCAGGCACAGCCAATCAACCCACTCGTTCATCAGTATTTAATACGGGCTTATTCATGTACCTGCATGCAACCAACTTATCACTATCACAGTTACTTACTACTAGTTGCCTAGTTTTATCGTTATCCTTTATCCTTTATCATTATCGTAAAGTTACCCCTCCGCGCTTAACCGTAAATTGCACCCTCGTTATCGCTATCGCGACATATGTAGTACTAACTAGTCTCGTCTTATTCTGTTGTATTAAGATATGATCTGGTGGGGTGATCCTCTACACATAATCATAATATGGCAGTATTGTAGACGTTAATATGGTTGCACACAAATACCATCATCATCACCATAACCGGTCCATCCATCAAGGGATTCCTTAGTAGGTAAGTAAGTAGTAAGTACCCAGTACAATAGACATAAGTGGGGGAAAGAACAAGAACAAGAACAGGTGACAAGGGTCTCTGCCTTGTTTTCCCTTCCCCTGCCCCCCCTTTCCCCTCACGGTTTAACTTTCTAGCCAATACTTGGTTTTTTTCTTAGTTTTGCCTTGCAATTCCTGAATTTCCGGGGTATTGAACTTACAAACTAACAGGCGAAGTAGGCTACCTTCTCAATCTATTCTAGGCGAATGAAGGGAACTGAGGGGAGGGGGAAGAAGAAGAAAAAGAAGGTACCAGAACAATAGTAATGCTGTGCCTAAGCGCCGGGAAGTGCAGGGGTGATAGTAGTAGTTAGTACTTTAGTGTGTAAGGAGACAGGTTTTAGTTGCACAAATGAATGAATGTATGACTCGGTTATCCCCAGACTACTAATTACTAGACCAACTAACCGGTTACTTCTGGAATACCTATACATACTTACATTGGACTCGAAACTAATCTACCTACCTATTTGTACGCTGTATCCAAGTACCAGGTAAGTAGTAGTGCAAATGGGACAAGTGGGTGTCGTACAAATTGGTCGGAATTGGAAAAGGGGCGGTTACCTTAGTTGTGTTTAATTTCCGGTTTTGGCCTCCTTGTTCAGTGGCTTAGTCTTAGTACAGCAGGGAATTAGTTTACTAGACTAGTTTAGTAACTGTCCGGGCGTTTTGGGAGGGGTCAAGCTTTTGGTAGGAAATGAATTATGACACCATAAAGAACTATTGTTGGAAGGGAAAGGGATGAATGGATGGAGTGGAATTTCCGAAATGAGGGGGTTTAATATACTGATTATCAGTGCTAGTACTCCGTTGTAGGTAAGTGGCTGACTTGGTTTGGTTTGGTTTCCGCCGACCGTTAAGCCCGAAAGGAAGGATAGATTAGTTAATTTGGAGTAGATACTAGATAGATTAATGGACAGGAGTGGTGTTGGTAGTAGTGTCCAATCAAAGTGGAAATAATTAGAACGTAATGGAGTAAGTACCTGTACCTACAGTAATAATAAATAATATAATGTGTATGTGCTCGCCAATCAGAATAATTGCAGTTCACCCAACGCAAAGAAATCAGCCTGTAAAGAAGAGATGAGTAGTGGATAGGTAGAAGGTGAACCGAGGTGTAAAGCAGACTGAAGAGACGAATCCAAAAAGAGATACAACACCCAACCCCACCCATAGATAAATGAACCGCAAATATACACCACGCACTCCTCTCTAATCAAAAAAGAAAATAATATATGGAGATGATAGATATCCTCTATCTCATCAACGGTCCCATCCGATCTATCAGTCATATTGGTCCCGTGCTCCCACCCCGAGATAAACAATGATGTCAGGGGTGCACTTCTCCCAGCTGATGCCATTTATAGCGTGACACTCTCCAGATCTCGCACCATCACGGACATTTGTGCCCGCTTGGCTGCCTCTGCAACAAGACTAAAGTCTCGTAAGAATGGTGCTGTCGCCGTGGGACCGCCCGACCCAGTGACTTGGTGGGGGTAGTTGTCCGCTGCAGGCTGGCCCATTGTTGCAGCAGCAGCAGAGGTTTGTGAAAGATCGGTGAGGTTTTGTTGCTCGCTGGCGTTTGCAGTAGGAGGTTGAGATTGAAGCTGCATCTGGGCGGTTTGGCTGTTGACTGCGGCGGCGGCGGCTGCGGCTGCGAGACCCAGAGTGTTATGAGGTTGCGATGAGTATCCTGGTGAGACGTGTGCGGTGGACTGAGGTTGGTTGAAGGGAGTCAAAGTGCGGGAGGAGCCGTCCATGTTGTATTCTCTCTATATCTATGGTGAAGGAGAGGTGGTGGTGATAAGGACGATAGCGATGTGAGAAGTCTATGAGGGCGGCAGCGATCGCGATGGGGAGGGAGCGACAAGGGAGCAAAAGGCTAGGCTCAGCTGGCGGGATGAGATCGCAGTCCAGGCGTAGAGAGGGTATCGGGGATTGAATGGACTGATCCGGTGGAGTCGTTAGTCGCCTTAGCCTGATCGCTGGCGTATAGAAGATGGCGTGATGAGGGGAGAAGAAAGAAGGAAAAGAGGCCGGCAGAAGAGAAAGAAAGAAAAAGCGCCAGCCAGCAAAGGAAAAGTAGCAACACGTGGGGCTCGTCCCAGAAGGCCGCGGTATGACGTCCGACAAGGCTAAAGGCTGATAAGTGGAATTTCCACGAACGGATGACGCTGAACCGGAAAGTGAGGGACGGTTGCGATAGTCACAGATAGTCGGGGCGCTGCGATCAATTGGTCGGGATCGTACTTTTGGGACGCAAGGTCAATCAGGCGTTAATATACTGAGAGTTAGCGAGGGAGGGGGGAAAGGACAATCATCGAACTAGTCAAAGCGGAGATCAGTTCAGTTGACGATGATCGACAATCCCCCGTCGCGAGGAGCTGAAAACCATCAGACTATTGTGACTACTAATGATTGCTCTCTTTTCTTTAGTCTTCCTGTTGCGTTGCATTTGAAAAGCAACCATCGGCCAGCAAAAATTTCGCGACAAGGTAATGCCGATAATTACCCGGCCGGTATGCGAGGCGGTCTCTCCGCCCGACCCCACGCGGGGTTTGCCTGGGAGATGCAGGTACCGTGACCGTATTACGCGGCGATGCCTCGGCTGAATGGTACGTGAGGTCAGGTGACTGCTCTCTGGATCAATCACACGAGCTAGTCCCTTTACGGTAATCCCCCACCACGAAAAAAGACTCCACCCTGAGATTCGCATTCGAGAATTCATTATTCGGTGCGCATCACCGCTCCATCGCCCATCATGCGACATTCACATCCTCACCAGATCGATTTACTCATCCGCTGGAGCTAGGCTCGCATCTGATCACCATGGCGGAAGAAGACAATTTTGACACGGCGGCCATGTTCGAGGACCCCGAGGGCTTCTATGAACCCGAGCCCGAGCCCACCTTTGCAGAGCATCACATGCTCTCCGGCCAAAAAGTGCGCGTGCGCCTTGTTGGTAGCCATCCTCTATATGTACGGCACTCTTGGTAGCTCATGGTTCATTCGGTTTCACTCATTAACCGCTCATTCTAGGGAAACCTCCTCTGGAACGCCGGCCGAACCAGCTCCCACTACATCGAGGAACGCGCCAGCACACTAATTGAGGGGAAGGATGTCCTCGAAATCGGTGCCGCCGCCGGTGTCCCGAGTATCGTCAGCGCCATTCTGGGCGCCCGCACCACCGTGATGACCGACTACCCGGACCTGGATCTTGTCCAAAACATGCGCTACAATGCCTCGTTGGCTGAGTCTCAGATCGCGACCCCTGGCTCCCTCCACGTTGATGGATATAAATGGGGAAACCCTGTAGAGCCGCTGCTTGCGTGCCTGCCCGCTGGTGCGACGGGATTTGATGTGCTTATCATGGCAGATGTGGTGTACAGTCATCGCGAGCATCCGAATCTGATCAAGACGATGCGGGAGACCATGAAGCGGACCAAGGAGGCCGTGGCGCTGGTGATCTTCACGCCATATGAGCCATGGCTGCTGCCCAAGACGGAGAAGTTTTTCCCGCTGGCGGAGGAGAATGGCTTCCAAGTAACTAAGATATTTGAGAAGCTTATGGATGAGGTGTTGTTCGAGAACGACCCAGGTGTAAGTGTAGTTCCCCCACCTGGTTAACTGGCAAATTGGCTAACATACTCTAGGATGAACGTTTGAGAAGGACGGTCTTTGGATATGAACTTCGCTGGGCAGAGGAGGAGTTGAAATAGCATACTGGCGTTGGAGGAAATGGATGAGTTTATGAGTCATGACTCGCTTTGAGACGTGTAGACAAATAGATACGCCTACAATAAAAGTTGGTTATATTAGCGATAAAATGCAAAATAGACATGGCAATATCTGCTTTAGAGCGAGCAAGTTTGAAAGTAGATAATGTTGTGCTTGTTCCAACTGTATAGAGCCGTCAGTCACATGGACCCCACCGAGCCGCCCCGCGCAAAAATAACTTCCAATAATTCAATCTCCGCCGCAAATCCACCGCGCAACATCAGCAACCGACCACAACTGTTTATCGCTCCCCCTCCCTCTCATCATGCCGGTACATTCCCTCAATTTCTTGCAATTGATCCGCATTAACCAACCATAGCTCATAGTATTGACGGGCTATCCCTGCTCCGGCCTCACCTACCGCGCCAACCAACTCGCAACGCAGCTCGAAGAAACCCAAACCGAGCTCTTCAACACCGGCGCTCTCCCCTCCACAAAACCCCGCTACAAGATCCACGTCGTGCCTACTCATGATCCCTCCCATCCGCGAACCGTCTACGACCATGCCCGCACCGAAAAGGAGACCCGAGGCGTGGCGTATGCGCGGGCGAAGCGCGCCCTCGGCAAGGACAGTTTCGTGATCCTCGACGGAATGAACTACATCAAAGGATACCGGTATCAGCTGTGGTGTGAGGCGAAGGCACTAGGGACAACATGTTGCGTGGTATGCTATGCTATGCCCTCCCTCATCCTCCTTCAACAACAACCAGCAAGCAACGCATACTAACACAATCACCACCAGGTCCATGTCGGCACCCCCATCGACCAATGCGTCGCAAACAACGAGGCACGACTCCGCCGTCAAAAAGACACAGACGACAATAACAACGAGAACACTCCCCAGCCTGACGCCGAAGCGACACCATCCACCACCGAACCCACCTCCGACCAAGAAGACCCTTATCCCCCGGAACTCCTCAACAACCTCATCTTCCGCTACGAAGAACCCAGCATCCACAGCCGCTGGGACAAGCCCCTCTTCACCGTCCCCTGGACCGACGCCTCCCCCCCAATCGCCGAAATCTGGACAGCCCTAACCGGCATCCCGCACCCTTCAGCAACAACCACCCCCGACTCCAACACCACCGTATCAACCCTCACCTCAGCCCTCAACAACACCAGCCTCTCCTCAGCAGCAAGCACCACCATCACAACAGCCGCTCCCTCTACATTCCGCACCAACCGTCCCAAAATCAAACCCCACCAAGCAACCGCCCTCCCCGCCGCCACAGACTCCACAGCCCTCTACAACATGGAAAAGCGCACCTCAGCCATCGTCTCCGCCATCCGCAGCTTTACTCTCGCCAATCCCTCTGCTGAAGCCGCGCTCGCGCAGTGCCAAGACGGCAACAGCAGCAGCAGCAGCAGTAATGGCCGGGGAATAAGCATCCCCGTCCCGGAGGCGTCCATGCCCGTTTACGTTCCGGCGCATGTGGCTACGTCCGGCACGACGGATGAACTAGCCGGCGCAGGCGGCATTCTTGCGTTGCCGAGACTGCAGAGATTGAGGAGGCAGTGGATTGCATTGAATCGGGCGTATGTGCAGGGGGCGCATGCATCGAGTAAGGGCGGGTTGACGGCTGAGCAGGTGCCGGATGCTTTTGTGAGGTTTCTGAATGCGGAGTTTGGGGCGGAGAGCGAGTAATCGCATTTTTCAAGAGTCCTGTTATTATTTTGTGATTGGTTTGTTGGAATGTGTTCTCTCGTTAGAGGGAGTCGTTAAGGGGAAGGCTTGTTTATAGTGATGTGATAGAGACGGATGGGAAAAGTTAACCATAGAAGCGTGTGTTTTGCAAGTATTTAGAGAGCGTCATTTTCATTATAGCTTACTGCAAATAACGTCTAGCTATAGGCCTACTGGCAGGTTACTTGACAGACGTTTGTTATGAATGATGATGGGCGAGTGTCTGTATTGAATGAACTTCTCGATTCTGGGTATTTGTCGTATCTTTCAGAAGAAGATTACAATTTACAGCTTTACTGAAGTTGGAAAGGTAGATGAATAGTAGGAAGAAAATAGCAAAACTTTTGATCCCCGCTAGCAGGGAAGTAGAGTAGAAAACTAGAGACAGCGACCCTCAGAAACATGAGTAAGTAGTCAAGCTATATCCAAAGCGGGGATTGAATAATCCGTAAAAAAAGGTGCAAGAGAAACAAAGAATATTCACAGGACAAAATGCACGTATGAACTCCCAATACATAGAATAATGGCAGGCCTCCTGTTCCACGACCTGCACCTATACATGAACGAAAAACCCGTCATCTATATCCATATCGAAATCCCAAAATCCCATATACAAAACCATCATCCCTGTATTTCCAATTCGCCCCGTTCCCATATTTTTTTCTTCTCTCTGGTCGACCTCTTTCAAACATAGGCCCGAGATGAAGGTCGATGCTTCGCATCGATACCCAAAAAGTAGCAAGCAAAACCACGCCCAAAAGCAAGAAGATACACAGAAATTGAATAAAAGGTTTTTACAGAACCATGCGCAGCAAGCTGCGCGTACATGAAACGTAAACTGTCACAAGACAATGATGAAGGACTTAGGAGGCATCTCCTATCCGACCGCCCAGAGCTGTCGTCCCCGATCAATGCTTCCACCATACCAACCTACACCGTAGTGAGTCCGGTAATGGTCTAGAAGATAACCCTCTAGATGATGGGATCAGATCCGCATCACCGAGGGAGAAGCCGCGAGATGCGTCGTGGACACACTGTGGCTGGAGCGGGGAGCTCTCCGGGCAGCTGCAGGAGGCCAAGGATCCTTTGGAATGAAATAAGAAATCCAACCGATGGTCAGAGAATGATCTTTCACGGACGCTTTCCATGAAACTTCTATCCATCACGGCTCTTTCCCGTTACCATGAGATCCTTCCTATGAGAACCATCCAGCACTCGGCGATGCCTGGGAAGACAAATTTTAAAAAAGACTTCAAATGATCGTCTCAGTAAAGCATTCAAGCAGGGAGACCGTGAGCGATCTGAGCCGCAGCCTGGCTGGCTTCAATGTGGCGGTAGTTGAGTCCAAGGGTAATGAGCTCCTGAAGGCTGGCATTGACCTTCTCATGCATGGAAGAATCCTGGGGCGTGATGTTGGTGAGCTCCTCAAGTAGCCGGGACCGGCAGTTGTAGTAGTTTCTCTCCGCATTCTGGAGTCTCTGGTTGTGGTGAGCAGAAGTCTGCTGGGCAGCCTTGAGAGGGTTGGTCTGGGACTGGGTGGAACGAGTGCGCTTCATGGTGGGGGCTCCAGTGACCCCAGCAACTCTACG